AGGGATTTCAGAGGCCCAGTTCGGCACCATCGGCCGGCCCAGTCGCAAGTTTTCTCACGGCGGAGGAGACGGAGGGCGAACAATCTATGGTGAAAAGGTCACCAAATCCAGCGGCGGCGATGCAGTCACAGTCAACATCAGATGCTCCAACGGCTCCAAATTTTCCGTCCAGACCAGCGCTTGATTTTCAAAGGCCGGATCTTGGAAGACGATCGAACTCTTCAAGCCGATGGTACATCGAAAAATTACCATGATCTCTTTTATTTTCACCCTTTTTCCTTTTATGGTTTGTTCACGTTTTAGTCCACAAAATGAGGTTATTTACAAACCATGGCACTGATTTGGTTAGGCTAATTACCATTCTACCATTAGGCAACAAGCAGGAGTGATTAGTAAGGATATAACTTTCACAATTTTATTCATAAAGGACGTGAACTTCTTAAGCAGTTGTATCAATCTCTTTCTAAGGCTGTTCGTTATAGATTTTTTTTTTTTTAAATGATTAATTTTTTATCATTTAAAAAAAAAAGGGGACGAAAGTAAAAGTCAAAATCAATATTCTAATGGAATTATTTAAATATTTTTAGTGAATATTTTTGTATATATTAATTTATTAAAATATTTAAATAATTTTATAAAAATTATAATATTTTAATTATTTGAACTCTTAATTTTCTATTATTTCTCTAAAATATATATAAAATACTAATTAAAATTAATAAAAGAATATAAAAATTGTATTTAATATAATACATTTATGTTTTAGCGTGTGAAAATAGTTTGCGAAAAGCTTGATCAAACTAAACCCTTACGAAAAAACAAAAAAGAGCGGTGGCAGTCTCTTTTTTCTTGTGAGGTGCCCCCTGCGTCCCTCCTCTGGTCTCTTCCCCTCAAAAGAAGAGTCATAGTTGTATCCCTTTGCTAGAAACATAGCCAATCCCATTAAAAAAAAAAAATTTCAAAATATCACCCAGGCTTTCCGCTTTAGCTGTCTGCCACCAGCACTTCCTTTGAATTTATGTGTATAAAAATGCCGCAAGCTTTGCACTTTTTCTCCATTCCTTGCTAGAAAGAACAAAGGAAATTAAACATACCTCATTTTTCCATAGTAGCCCTCAACACCCTTTAATTTCTGAATCTCTTCTAAGAATGTCCCCACAATGTGTATCGAGGACACTCCAAAGTCCATGCTTACCCTTTAGTCAAACTTTAGTATCTTGAATTTAGTTTCCAGATTTATCTAAAGACCCTAGTATCTAGTTTCCTTTCATCAAGGAGATTGAGGTCATTTTTTCAAAGCAAAAGAAGGGCTCCCTGATTTCCTCCATTCTGCAACAATCCCCAGAAAGAGGAGAAGACAAAAGAAACTAGGAAAAGGAAAAGAATCATGTTCACTTACAAACCCAGTTTTCCAAACCTTTCATTATCTCAAATGGGTACCCTTAAATTCACGGTTCTCTACTTGATTCTACTGCTATCATCCAAGGTTACTTCCAATGTAGGGGAATGGCAGTCTGCTACTGCAACATATACCAAAGAAATAGATGGGTCAATCATTACAGGTACTTCCTTGTGCAGCTATAGTTTATGTAACGTTTCTTTTCATTAACAATTGATTCAAGTCAGCATTACTTTTATGATGATTTTACAGAAGGTGCCTGTGGTTATGGGGATCTTCACAAGATAAGCTATGGAAAGTATAGTGCAGGACTCAGTACCATGTTATTCAACAAGGGGAGTACATGTGGAGCTTGTTTTGAGATCAGATGTGTTGATCACATCTTGTGGTGCCTGCAAGGAAGCCCTTCAGTTATCCTCACTGCCACAGATTTCTGTCCTCCAAACTATGGCCTGTCAGCAGATTATGGTGGTTGGTGCAATTTCCCAAAAGAACACTTTGAGATGTCCAAGGCAGCATTTTCTGAAATAGCAGAGCTAAGAGCTGATATTGTGCCAATTCAGTACAAGAGGTAGGCTACATTAACCTATTCATGTTTTGCTAGCAGATAAGAAGTTTTTCCTGTCTTGCAATACACATGATAAAAGCCATAAAGGAATCACCTTTCTTGCTTTTATTCTATAGGGTGAATTGTGAAAGAGCAGGAAGGTTAAGATTCACCATGAGTGGGAGTTCTCACTTTTATCAAGCTCTGATAACCAATGTGGGATTGGATGGTGAAGTGGTTGCCGTGAAAGTGAAGGGATCAAAAACAGGGTGGATACCTATGGCAAGGAATTGGGGCCAAATCTGGCAATGCAATGTCAACCTTACAGGACAACCACTATCTTTTGAGGTGACCACCAGCAATGGAAAGGCACTCACATCTTACAATGTTGCTCCAGCAAATTGGCAGTTTGGCCAGACGTACGAAGGAAAACAGTTCAAGTAAGCAAGACTTTTAAAGTTGAATATGGAAAATTGAGAGAGATGATTCTGATAATTTCATCTCTCCATGGCTGGAAACTTGGAGCTAATCATTATTTAGATCTCAGCTTAAGTTATGCACAAATTCACACTTTACTCTTTCTTGGCCTTTTGTTTTGATATGGACCATAAGGTTCATGTAATGGTCAAACGAAGAGCAAGTAGTAGAAAGAGAAATGGAAAATGTAGGAACCGAAGGTCCCACTTTTGTCACTTAATGATTTCCTAATTGGAGAGAGAAACTATGGTGCAAAATGTAATTATTGAAAAGCAATGTAATCTATAGCTTATTTTGCATTTTCTCGCGCCAATCCTTGTATTGTAGACTAGGATGCTTCTCAAATGTTGCATTTAGTAGATTACTCCACCGGGAAAATAACAGTTGATGCAAACACCCACTAGTAAAGCACACAAAGAAAAACTTTTGGACTTATGATTATTTATTGAATTTGAAGAATTAAGATAACAAAGGAATAAGTTCACAATATGAAATGCTGTTACTACTTAAGATTAATTAGATACCAGCTTAGGCAAAACGTTCAAAAGTTAATAAGCTAGATAGATAAATTGGGAACCCCAAGAAACTGGTTTTATTTGTCGTCTAAAAAGTAGTAAGAGTTTAATTGCCAATATCAAAAACGTAAAGAGGCTCATTTGCGATTTTATGCAAGAAAAAGGTCTATTTTTGTGATTTCTTTTTCTTTTGGGCCAGACTATAGTATTGTGTCTGAGTCTTCTTGAGAGGCTCAACTCAAGTCAGTTTCTTCAAGGAAAAAGAAAGCCCAAGAAACTGCCCAACCAAACCACCTGTATGTTAGGCATTTTAGGAAGCCCAATCCGGCGCCGTGGCCTTGTCGCGCGAGTTTCCTTCCAGTGGAGGGACAAAGCAGCGAGCTTTTTGTCTGGCGGACGAAACGTTTCTTCCATTTCATGTTCTTTTCTTTTCCCTTTTGCCTCCACGAATCAGCAGCATACCCCAACCTAAAACACGAATCAAACACAATCTTAATTTTTTCCTGGTTAGGTAGGCAACCTCTCCCCTTTTCCTGCTCATTTCCTTCTTTAATTTCAACAAATTATGTATCTTTTTCTACTATTTTCTCAATTCGATCCTTGCCCTTCAAGGGTTCGGGTTTCCGTATTCATCTTTAGCAGATCGATTTTGTTTTTGGGTTTTTGTTTTTTTCGATTTTTGTTTGATTATTTTAATGGGTTCAGGAGCCTCCTTGTTGGGGGTGTGACGTTGAGGGGAGACTATCTATGGGTGGTGGAGGTGATGCGGATGCTTCTGCTGCTGCTGCGGCAGAGGAGGTCAGCAAATCCAGCTCCGGGGATGCAGTCACCGTAAATATCAGATGCTCCAGCGGCTCTAAATTTTCCGTCAAGATCAGCCTTGATTCCTCCGTCGAGTCCTTTAAGGCCGTTCTCGCGCAGAACTGCGATGTCCCGGCCAGTCAGCAGCGCTTGATTTACAAAGGCCGGATCTTGAAGGATGATCAAACTCTTCAAAGCTATGGTACGTTAAGTTATCAAGTTCTTTGACAATACTTATTTATAATCTCTTTAAATTTCACGAGGGAATTGATCATGGTGTGAGTGGTAGCTGATTTTCTTCCTACTTTCAGGAAATCAAAGGGTTTGGTGAAGGTTTTTGTTTTAATTAGATGCATTGATATATGGATTAGGGAACTAATGGGTTGATTTATATTTTCCATTTTTTTATTAATAATTGTAGAAGCACCGACAGAAACTTTTTAATTAATCAAAGTTGGATTGAGTTAAATCTATGTTGCATTTGCATATCTAATTTAGTTTGCATAGTGGATTAAATAAATGACTTTTTATGAAATAAGCCCAGATTCAAAGGAACATACTGACTATAAGTTGGGGTGTCTATGATTTAACTTTCTTGGCCTTAGGTCCTGTTAAGTTATTAACTTAATGATTGTATCATCATTTTATGTTGAAGACTCAAAGTTGTTGGCTGGGTAATTGGCTGTGGTGTGTTACCGTTTTTGGCATCCAGGAGGTCTTATCAGATCTAAAATTAAACCCTTGAAATATATCTTTTTGGAGTTGGTCAATTCGAAATACTTAATATGAGCACCTGGCTTGTTTAACATGTATGTTTGGACTTTGATGGGTTCTCTAGATTACTCTATTGGTATATGTTAGCTTAGTTGGTTATATAAAGCTTATAAACTCAATTGTCTTGTGTAAAATTGGGTACAGCATGGAAAGTTGATGGCGAATCTGGGGACCAAATACTAATTGTATCCTTAATTTTATGTTTAGGCTTGGAAGCTGATCACACAGTTCACTTGGTCCGTAGTTTTGCTCCAACAACAGCAAACACTGCTGGAGCGACCAATCCTGCAGCTCCAAATACCACTCAAACTAATAATACAAGATCTGTTGGTTCAACTGAAACTGGGGCGTTAGGTGGATCTGGTTTAGGAGCTTCATTGTTTCCTGGACTTGGTGGCTTAGGGGGCAATAGTGGTTTATTTGGAGCTGGGCTCCCTGAGTTCGAGCAAATGCAACAACAATTGACTCATAACCCGAACATAATGAGAGACATAATGAACATGCCTGCTGTTCAGAATTTAATGAATAACCCAGAGATAATGCGAAACTTGATTATGAACAGTCCTCAAATGCGTGAAATCATTGATCGAAATCCTGAGCTTGCGCACATACTTAATGATCCAAGCACTCTTCGACAGACACTTGAAGCAGCGAGAAATCCTGAGCTCATGCGTGAAATGATGCGCAATACTGACAGAGCTATGAGTAACATAGAATCATCACCTGAGGGGTTCAACATGCTTAGGCGCATGTATGAAAATGTTCAAGAGCCTTTTCTAAATGCGACTGCAATGGCTGGGAATACTGGAAGTGATAGCTCAAACCCTTTTGCAGCTCTTCTGGGAGCTCAAGGTGGAACCCAAGCCAGAGATGGAACAACCAACCAGTCTACCACTAATTCTGAAACTACTACCAACCCTCCTGTGCCCAATACAAACCCACTTCCAAACCCTTGGTCGCCTCCTGCAAGTAAGCTTATTCTTTCTTATTTGTTTGTCTTCTTTAGTATATTTTGATTTGAAGCTTTTACTTTTGTCTCTTTCCTGCTTGCTTATTTTTCTTATTTACGGTTTTTTGTAAGTGTTACTGATTTCTAAACGACTGTGGATGATCTGCTCAGTATATATTTTTTTAGGGTGGGGTTATTGCCTCACCCTAGAGTGAGTGTTGATTGCACACTTAAATGTTATACCTTTACTTTTATGTCCCTTAAATTAATGAGTTTTTGAGAACATCATTCTCACTAGCTTTCACCTACTCACTAACTTTTCACCTACTCATGGAAAAAAGAGTCAAAAATGTATTTTTAGGGTGGCATTAACACTCTAGGTGTGGCATTAATGTCACTCCATTTTTAGACTATCAGCTGTGTGTACTCTTTTTTCCTTCTTTTTTTTTTTTCATGTTGGTTACCATAGAGTATGGGGAGGCTGTTATTAGCCCTTAAAATATTTTGGCAACTTTTGTTTCCACTTCACTGGATGATTGGTCTGAGGCATATTCCATCTTGGTTTACAATTATATCATACTATCATTAAAAGGAAAAAGGAAAAGAAAATTGTGCGTTTTGAAGTTCAGTGATATTGACAATTCTTTTCGGTCTCATAACACTTTTCTAGAATTCAGGGAACTTAGTAGAATCTTGTACTATATTATTCCAACTATTGTAACTAAACTTGGAAAATTTATCTTGAAATACTTCAATTTTTTGTTTTAAAAGTCAACAACAACTTCACTCTGAATATATTCCTTTATGTTGTTTATAGCATTAACTTTTTTTCATTTTTTAATATTTTCAAAATGTAATCCCAACAGCTGGAGGTGCCCAAACAAACACAGCTAGATTGAATCCTGGTGGGGATGCTAGGCCACAAGCACCTGCTGGGTTAGGTGGGCTTGGTCTCCCAGAGTTTGAAGGCATGTTTGGTGCCATGCAGGATACCAATCAGGTGAATCAGTTGATGCAAAATCCAGCCATTACACAAATGATGCAAAGTCTCCTTTCGAATCCTCAGCACCTAAACCAGGTAATCATCTAATATTGCGTACTCATACAATAGGTACCCTCTGGTATTATTATTTTCTCTGATCATCACCTTTTCTTTCAGATTCTTGGTTTCAATCCTCAACTTCGGAGCATGCTTGATTCTAATCCTCAACTGAGGGAAATGATGCAAAATCCCGAATTTCTTCGTCAGTTGACTTCTCCTGAGTTAATGCAGGTATCTTTAGCATGTATAAATATAGCATAAATGTGCAGCCATCTGCCCAAACGTACTTCTGGACAAAAAGTGTTTGTTGAGTGTTTTCTTTTGGTTTCGGTTTCATATGGTAATTATTTTCATACATAAGCTACCATCTAATAAGATTCTTTTCTATGACTCTTTACTTGAGATGTTTTCTCATATATGTTCATGAACTGTGTTAAAAATTAGGACGTAAAACCTGTGTGGTTTTTTCAAGCAAGGTTGACATTTGACACACATAAATGTTTTTTCCCTGCAGCAACTGTTGAATTTTCAGCAATCTCTTATGTCTCAACTTGATCAGCAGCAATCAACTCAGTGAGTGGCATCATTATTTCTTATGGTTTTCTTTGTAATTCTTTTTGTAATAGTTCTTGTTGCAAGTATTTCTATTTTATGCACTTTGCATGGCTCCTCTGCTTTCCAAGAAAAAGAAGGTACCTTTATAAAATTCATGACAAGGTGCTTTTGTAAAATATATTTTTATAAATGGTTTTATACCAATCCTTCTCCAAAAACTATGATTGTATTGTTGGCCATTTTATTATATAAATATGGTTTGAAATGGAGATGTGGTGAACATTTCAGTTGCTGAATCAGTGTTGGCTCACTTGTAAAATGATGATTGTATTGCTTTTTATTGATAAATAATATGTAAAATGATGATTGTATGCTCGCACTTCCTATTAATTCTTTGTTTGTCTCCATTTAGTCATTTAGTGTGGCAATCTAGTTTTCGCTCTCAAATGCTTCTGGATTATGTTTTACTAGTGTTTTTGCTCATGTTTATTTTTTTCATATGGATTCTGTTCTTCTGTAGGGAACCTGCTCAGACTGGTGGAGGAACAGGTATAGTAACCTGAACCAAAATCATTTTTGCTCTTCGTTAGTCGCTACCAGCATCATCGATCTACTTCTTATCTTATAATTTTCATGAGCCTTCAACATTGTTTTGATTTTAAAATTTTGCTTTGCCAATAATGCTAACATAACTGCAGCAGCAGTCAACAATTTGGGGCTGGAGATGTTGATGAACATGTTCGGTGGACTCGGCACTGGCAGCCTGGCTGTTCCTAGATCTGATGGTTAGCAACTCTTTTCTTCCCCTCCTTTTCTGGTCATTCTAGTTTTCTTTTGTTTGGTATCGCATGATTTTCTACTTGAACATAAACTGTTAATTCATTTCAGTACCACCCGAGCAACTATACGCCACCCAATTGACACAGCTTCAGGAAATGGGTTTTCTTGACACTCAAGAGAACATTCGGGCATTAATCGCCACTGCAGGAAATGTTCACGCTGCGGTAGAGCGTCTTTTGGGAAATATCTAATAGCTATGAGATATTATGTTCTTCCAAAATTTCAGTTTGGACCAGAGTTATATTAAAGTCCCTTTTTTTGTATGAATAAGCTTGAGATTAAGGTATAGGGCTGCAAATTTGTTGGTCTACTTTCTCCTTTCCTAGACACGTCAAGTGAGGCCAAAGTTTATTGTACATACCCAAAAATTAAGATTTCTCATATGAAATATTTGTTAAATTTTCTGAAATTAGTGACATGTGAATTCTTTTTCTTTTCCTCTTTTTTTTTTTTTGAGCTTATTACACATTTGAGGTGGGGGGATTCGAATTACAGTTCTAGAGGTAGGGGATGTACCTCGCAACATAGCATATTGCTATCCGGTCAAGAGACCCAGTTTTGTGAGTTTTTTCTTCTTGGTGACATATTTAATAGAGACTTAAATGTCAATCAATACTTTCCTATCACAAAATAAAAAAGGGTTCAACCACCTAGAATAGAAGGGATCCTATCACTAATTTATAATGTTGCAAAATCACTCCTCTATGGAAGGAAATGACCTACGTACGGCATTTCATTTATCTAATAAAAAGTGTTATGTGTATAAAAAGAATGTTATAATTATAATATTATGTAATATTATAAATTTATAATATAATATATTATTATATAATTAATTTTTTTGTTTAGGTGTTCAGTAATGATATTATATATATTTATTTAATATCATGTAAGATTATAAGTTTATAGTCATCCATAATATTGTAATTATAGTATTGCTATTTTTAAATTGTATATTATTAAATATAGTAATTTTTTTTAAAACATTGGATGATGGGTTATATTGTAGATGATAGCATTCTCCTTCCCAAATCCCCTTCACACCCATTTTAGAATTCGAATTTGAGATCACTAATATGTAAATTTAAACTTTTAATCATTAACTCTACTTATAAGAGATATTATTAAGAAAAGCAACA